AAATAAGAACAGATGTCACGTAACAGCTCAGTACTCTTTTTTTTTTTCTTTGTTACCAAAGAACCTCCTGTCTCGCATTACTCTACCCAGCTTTTTGAATATGTCATTGGCATTTCCAATACGTCTTTGGATCTCGGTGTCCGTTTACGTTCCTTTAGATTTGACCACTTCCCAGATATTTAAATTTCTACACTGTGATTGATTCTTGTGTCCCTTGACCTGCAAATTGCATTTCAGGTTCATCTTTTTTGACCATGCATTCTGTCTTCTTGTTTTGTGTTAAGTCCCTTTACTCGCTTTCCTACCTTCCTTGTAGGAGGTTTTGTAATTCTTTTCCTTGTCTGTTATCGATATGTCACCTGTATCTTATATTTGTTAAGATTGTATGTATAATGCTGAATCCAGTAGGATTTCAATTCTCTCCAAGAATTGTCTCGCTGTATAGGTTGAATCACTTCAATATATATATATATATATATATATATATATATATATATATATATATATATATATATATAAACACTAAGAAAATTGATATCTCCTTAATTATAAAAACGAATATCCCCCATAGATATAAAATGGTTTTATAAAAACATGATTTTCTTGCGGAAATTGAACTCAACATTAAAAACAGAACCACTAGCAATATCATAATTCACACACACACACACACATACATATATATATAATTTTCTGTTTTTATACGTTTTTAATAGATAAATTTATTTAAGTAAATGCTCTGTTTTATTTTATTTAAATAATCATAGCATTTGGTTAAATAAATTGTATTTATTAAAAAGTAATAAAATAAAAAAATATATAAATAATTATCGAATTAAATCCATTTTCATAATGGTGATTTTCAAGGTAGCTTAGATGTGGTACAAGAAAGTATGGGACACCCAGTGAGATCGAACTCACTACAGAGTTATTGTTCCTGCAGAGACAAACTTGCTAGCCATTACTAAACATTAGCCTCAGGTGCTAAATCCGTTTTATAATATGTTGTCGAAAATAACAATGTTAAATTTACGTTTCGTCAGCAGATATGATCGTTCGGTAAAGATCGTTGAAGATTTGTTGTTCATAAAAAGTAATTCAGGCTTTGCTAACCAGACGCTTCTTTGTGTCTGAATGGTTAACAAGCACATTAGATCAAATTATGGTTTCCAATGGGGTTAGAGGTTACATAGAAGATGATGATGAAGTGCTCCGCTCGAGTCAGTCCGTAAGTAAGACTTTTCCTTGTTCAAAATATAGACATTTTAACTCGGACTCTGTTGTTAACAATAAGCGTGCCTATTTCACAGCCAAACTTTTTTTATTTTCATTTTATGGAATAAATATTTAAACTAATTTTTTGCAGGGGTACGAAATTGAAATAAACCGATAAAAAAACGAACGTTACAGTAAGAAAAAAGTTACATGTTAGATGTAACCGTATGTTTGATGCTAAGACTTAGTCCTCTCGCACTTCTCGCTTGTGGAACTCTTTTCTGGCTTCTTGCTTTCCAGTCAAATTTGATCTTCAAAAAATTAAATACAATACCAGTCGTTTTTGTCCGATCTCCTTAATAATGTTATCTTGCGTCTTAGTGGTTTTATTGCCTTGCTTAGGATGAAATGATTAAAAACAAAGTTAACAAAAAGAGGTCACAAAAATAATACTGTAAAGTGGTAATAACGAAACAGAATTAAGAAAGAAACAACTAAATCGGTTTGTTGTTCTCCTTTATTCAAAACTCTACCGAAGACTGAAAATGTGCGCACTGAATACCAAATGTTATATAGAATAGTATATAACAATTACAGGCTAATTACATATAAGCCTAACAACTACCAATTTTGCTTGCAGAGAGCTGGCTGGTCGGACTTAATGTAAATGTATTCCAACACCTTCAAATGTAAATCAGAATTAACCTTACTCGTTAATGATATAATTTAATAAATATTTCACAAAATGTCAACTTCTGTCTTTGCGATCTGTCTATATTTCTGAGATGAGGTATTTTGTACATTATTTACATTATTCGGACTATTGTCCTCATCTTTGTCGCCATACAACGTTTCGGGCGTTGTACGCTCCGGCCTTCTTCAGGTAGTTGGAATGTCGAACTGAACCCTTTATTTCGCTCACTGGGGTAGAATGTTCTTGTTCCAGGAGCCATGTTCAATAAATGTCAGTCATCAGCTATCTCCTGTTAAATCCCCTCTGAAAGGCCTTCACTGCCTTAACCGGGTATTGAACTCGAACTCTTTGGGTCCTGTCACTGGATCTAACTAACGCTTTTATCCACTGTGCCATGTGTCCTTTGCTTTTGTATTAAATCGTTTTAATGGAAACATTGTCAATTGCCTTGACAGATATCCGTACCATTTCATCCAGGACCTATTCTGAACATAAAAAAAGACCTCGCAGCAGCCGACATACTCAAGACTTTATACGTGTGTCAATTCACCGTATTTCCTGTTTTTCTAACGCTGAGATCACTTCCGCAACGTATATTGCTTTTTGAAGTCGTATTTTTCTCAATGAAAATAAGTGATGACTTCATTATGCATGAGTATTGATTCTTTTTCCGTATTTAACTATTTGTAGGCGCAGTATTTAGTTTGTGTCGCACTTTTGCAACCAAACATCTATTTTTTACAGAGCAATCATTCTAGCTAATTACCTTAAAGCTTATAGGGCGTCATTCACTAGACACCATGGCAAATTGTCAGTTCTAAAAAAAATCATTTTAAAAAGAGAAAAGAAAACAGAAGCGAAGAAAAGTAAAAATAAATCTTCACATATTCCGATTCGGATATAAACCACTGCTTCCACACTCGATATGCGTCCTTAAATTTTGATTGAGGGTATCAAACATATTCAGATTTTTAGTTCCCAAAAACTTTGGTCCTGTATCTTTGTTGGAATGCTGTCTATTTAAAATGGCCGAGAATTAGGAAAGCCGTAGTTAGGAAGAGCATCGAAGTGACAGAAACTATGTAGAGAAAACAAAGAAGAGGTTTATTAAATACTCATAGATGGGTTCAAAATGGCTGAGAATTAGGAAGACCGTAGTCAGAGAGAGTATCAAAGAAACAGAAACTATATAGAGGAAAACAAAGAAGAGTTCTTCATCTCAAATAGGGGTTCAAAATGGCTGAGAATTAGGAGGACCGTAGTCAGAGAGAGTATCAAAGGAACAGAAACTATGTAAGTGGAAACAAAGAAGAGGTTTATTGAATACTCATTGATAGGAGTCCAAAATGGCTGAGGAATTAGGAAGGCCAAGTAGTCAGAGAGAGATCAAGGAACAGAAACTATGTGAGGAAACAAAGGTTTATTGAATACTCATTGATAGGGAGATCCAAATGGTTGAGAATTGCGGAAGGCCGTAGTTAGAAAAGAGTATCAAAGGAACAGAAACATGTGAGAAACAAATAAGAGGTTTATGAAATACTCATAGATAGGAGTTCAAAATGGCGAAATTAGAAAATGATAGCTTAGAAAATATCCAAAGGAACAGAAACTATGTAAGGGGAACAAAAGAAGAGGGTTTTTAAATACTCAGAGATAGGAGTTCAAAATGGCCGAGAAGTAGGAAGGCCGTTATTTGACAGAATATCGAAAGGACAGAAGACGAGGTAGAAGAAACAAAAAAAGAAGACGTTTATTTGATACTCATACATTGAATGGAAATAGTTGAGTAAATCAACTCCTCTTCAAATCCTACTCTAATTTGCCTACTTGCCATATTTATAAGTAGGTGCAGTCCATTGTCACAGTAGTAGGTAAGACCAGGAATTATGCTGAGTTCTATTCTACATCAATCTTCTATGAACTTTAATTTTTCTCTTTCTTAATTTTTATTCGTCTTTTTTTTTTGTACCATTTCCTTTCAGGGCTTCCCCGATCATGGCTCTCCACAAATTCTTACCCTTCGTAGCTCTTAGAAATTTTGTCTCCTTATTTTCCATTCCACTCTTTGTCCTTTCATTGATTTAGACAAACTTGTTAAGAAGGTTACTCACTACTTTTCTCTGTCCCTCTTGGCTTCGATACGCCCTGTAAGTGTCAAATTTACCAAGCTTTCTTTCCTCATTATGTTTCCTAGAAATTTCAACTATCTTTTTTGAACTTTTTAAAAATATAGGAATTTTGTTTCCATTTTCCATAAAACGTCCTGGTACCTCTCACGCTCTATACATGGCATTTTCAGTATCCTTCTGTAGAACACTGCAATGCTTGTATGGGGATAAATAAAACACAAATCATTTATTGGGAGGATATTTTTAGCTTGATTTCCATTTTTCTTAAGAACTCAAAAGATCTTTTGCGAATTTATTCCTTATCCCACTTTATTTTTTTATTAATGTCAAAGTGACGGAAAATGTGTAAACCTGTTGGGAAACAGTCTAGTATGAAGAAGTCCAAACAGAAATTTACTCGAAACGTCTTTGCCATTTATTTCGATAATTACATCGGTAGCCATATTGGCAGGAAAAATAGTGCTAACAGTCAGTGTTCGAATCCAGGTAATAACTATGATCTTGAATGCACATTTTCAAGGCAGACAAGTCTTCTCTACAAGAAGTATTTGTTCAATACACTATATAAGCCGGGGAGGGCACTTCGACGTGATGTATTGGTTAGAAACCTTGTCTTGCTAGATCAATTACGACTGATTAGTGAGTTCGATCCTCACTGGGGACTCCATACTTTTGGCCCTGTGCCATATCTAAGCCACGCTTCGAAAGTCAGTACATGGGCACTTCGACGTGGTTTAACGGTTAGCAAGCTTGTCTCGCTAGAACAATTGTGACAGAAGAGTGATTTCAAGCCACACTGGGTGCCACCTACTTTCGGCCTTGTGCCATGCTTGGAAAATCCCTATATAAGCTGGGGTGTCTAAGGGGATCGCTTAGAACAATCTATGACCAGTGGATGTGTAAAGAAAAGACAAAAGATACTTATCAAGAAAAGAATAAAAGAAACGTCTTTGTTTACTTACTTGGAACGCAATGATAAACAACTCTTTGGTAGTGGGTCTCCGGGCTAATTTTCGGACAATAAGACGATGTTTTCACGGCTGTGATACGCACATCACATGACCTGTAGCCAGAACAGTGGATGTTAAACATAGGATACTGTGATCCTTCAAGGACAATACAATCGTTGGTGCTGGCACGGCAGCAATCCGGAAGCTGGTGGTTACGAATCAGGGAGCGGTTGTTGCAGATAGGATCCTGTTTGACGCCGTAGTATAACCTTTTGATCGCTATCTTGTGGGTATCAGGACAACTGATTGACATCTTCTGGTGAGAGCAAACAGTCTTATATATACTCTCGATTTCGGGTCTGACACCTGAAAGAAAAATATTATTATTATTATTTTGATTACCATGACCAATCAGATTGTTAGGTACTGATTCTGCTCGACTGATTACAATATTTATTTTGTTTATTTTTAGCCATTAAATGTTGCCAATGCCTGAGGGGCAGGCAGGTACGCCATTGCTTTGGTTACAGTCGTGACAGGATTTTCCACTCAGAGTTATCCTCTTAGACTGATTACCAACCAAAGGTAGGTGGAGAGAGTTCAATTTGCTGTGTTATTTAATCCATAGCTGGGGAGGAACCATAAACGACATTTATAAGAACTTGGAAGGGAAGGCACGGATTTATACCTTTTCCAATGGGATTTGTAACGAAGCAAAAGCAAGCGCCTCTGCCGAATTCGAACTCGGCTCGTGGAGCTCACATAACACGCCGATAACCGGATCGCTATTCGCGCATCCATCATCATCATCATTATTATTATTATTATTATTATTATTATTATTCAAACCTCCGATTATATAAAAAAACGGACGTAAAAAATATACAACAATTCGCATCCCATATGTGGTTGTCCTGACATTGTTGTAAAAAGAACGTCACGTAAATTAACAAACATCGACTATTACCGCAATTAACATGGAACAGCTACTACTAGATTGGCAATTAGGTCTCACCGGTTTATTCTTGATGTTACCGTAAGTTCTATTCTAACAGTTTCTTCTATACCTCTTCCCGTTTGTGGAACTCTCTTACGGTTTCTTCCTTCCCTGCCGCCTCTGATCCTCAAAGATTTAAATGCAGCGTCAATAACAATCGTCTGCCTTCCTGAAATCTGTTTCTTTCTTGTCTTTCCCCCTCACTAAAACTTTATCATTCTCTTTCACTCCCAGTGATCCGTCGCGTCTTAGCGGCATTTTCGCCTTGAAATGATTAAACAAAATGCTTTTCATGCCTTAATTATACTTGTCTTGGGAACTTGGGGCGGGGTATAATGGTTCGCACACTCTAGATCAGCAATCTTTTGAACTTCAGGGACCACTAAATGTATAATAATAAAAAAGGTAAATACATTTATATAATGATAATAATCGGAATTTTTTTTATTTTATTAATATGAAAAGCGTCCATTAAATGTAATAAAGTTATAGTGTAATTATTTAAATAAAAGAAATTGAAAATCCGAAGTTTATTCAAGTCCACTAAATTTAAAAAAAAATATTTTGCATAAATAGTTTTCGAGTACGAATGCTTATAAATTTGCGTAAGGTGATTCTTGAAGATCCCGCCACTTCTCCGTTGCTAGGCCATGTTTTTAGAAAATTATACTAGTAAACCATCCAGTAACTCGCTATCAACTGTAATGGCAAGAAACTATTCAGTCACTATTATAAGTCACTAGAAGTAGAGCCGGCGTTGCCCGAGGATGTAACAGTGAGAGATAGATCTAGTATCGACCATCATAAAGACTGAAAAATAAAATTGACAAAGATTATTGTTTTAAGGTTGATGGACTCGCATGTCTTAATTAGGTTTTTTTTACGGTCTGGTCAAACCCAATCTCAAACAAAAAACATTGTTTTCAATCTTTATGAGTCTACCGATTGAATAGAATTTTATTATAAACAATTGTCTTGTAAATGGAATTTTTTAAAAGCATTCTGAATGTAAAAATAAAAGAAAAAACTGTGCAAGACAATAAAAACACTACCTGCCCCCCTGCGTGAAGTTTTGTTGAAATCGGTTGAAAACCGATCCCATATATAAACGAACGCACACACACAAACAACCTGGGTTTTTATAAGTATAACTCGATATAAGTTGTCCCCCTTTCATTCTCGCTATGCCTCTTAATCGTGTTTTCAAATTGATTTCGTGCAAAAACAATTGTTTTTCCAATTTTTGGCGCTGTTAGAACCACCGCAAGGTAATTTTACGTAGTCCTGTGAAGTTTTGTTGAAATCGGTTGAAAAATGTAGGAAATCCGATCCAATATATAAACGTACAGACATACACACACACACACACACACACAACATGGGTTTTATAATAAGTATGATGTTAGGTTATAGTATGACTGGATGATGTCACATTTATGTAATGGTGTTTATTTCGAGATGACGTAAGCTCTTGAACATATCTACCATCCATAATACGTTTTGTTACTCGTCATTTTTTAATCTGGAGCTTCATAAAAATTGAAATAATGTCCCAATTTTTCTGTGGACCATCAAAAATTTTCCACGGACCACCAGTGGTCCGCCGACCATCAGTGGTCCGTGGACTACCAGTGGTCCGCCGACCACCAGTGGTCCGTGGACCACCGGTTGACGACCACTGCTCTAGATCACTTTTAAATTCATATTGAATTCGGTCCTCGCTGGATGTGCCATACATGTGGCTTTGTGCCACACCTAAGCTACGCTTAGTGAAGCATTACTTATTATTATTTTGTCGTCAGTCTCAGTGGAAGTAATATTACTACCAGGGGATGTGAAGATATCGACAGGTTTTAAGAGATTTCCACAGAGAGAGTTAATTGGACAATCACAATTATAGCTAATGCATTCGCTTTTATTTGAATTTGTATGTAAGTCGATACCTCCTGCTGTTCGTTCTAAACTGTGAAATTGTTTTGTAGCTCTGATGATTGCATCTGATATAACGGCCAGGTTGTCAGCATCGTCTGCATTACATAATATTAACAAACGGCTATCTGAGAGAATATCTATAGCAAGTTCTTCTATGTGTCTTGCCCGTTTATTACGTGGGTGATCAAGGGATAATTGGTAGCATTTGGTTCAGCGTTAGAATTTGGTTTCTTTTGGTGCCAATGGTTATTGCTAAGTTTAAAGTTAGCGACAGGGGGTTTGATTTTGTCTTAAAAGAGACTGAAGTGCTATTTTAGCGTTAGAAAGACAATGATTGCGTAAATTAGACTGGAATACAATTAAAGCAAGAAAGAGACTTCTGTATTTCGTAATCTGAGTTATGTCTTCTTCCTGCACGTGCCGTGTCGCATCAGGACGTGGGCGATCATGTCTCTCCACACATTCTTCCTTTTTGTAGCTCTTAGTAAGTTTTGCTTTTTCACAATATCTTCCTCTATCTGTCTATATTTTTGGGATGAGGTACTATCTACACTATTTACATTATTCGGATTATTGTCCTCATCTTTGTCGCCATATTTATTAAACGTTATACGCTTCAGGTAGTTGGTATGTCGAACTGAACCCTTTATTTCGCTCACTGGGGTAGACTGTTCTAGTTCCATGTGCCATGTTTAATGAATGTCAGTTATCTCCTGTTAATTCCCCTCTCCAAGTTCTCCACCGCCTAACCAGGGTTTTGAACTCACAGTCTTTGGGTCCTGTCACTGGATCTAACCAACGCCTTTATCCACTGTGCCATGTATCCTTGAGGACACATGGCACAGTGGATAAAGGCATTAGTTAGATCCAGTGACGGGACCCAAACAGTTCAATACCCGGTTAAGGCTTAAGAACTTGGAGAAACAGGAGATAACTGATAACTGACATCCATTAAACATGACACGTGGAACTAGAACAGTCTATCCTAGTGAGCGATTTAAAAAGTTCAGTTCGACGTTCCAACCACCTGAAGAAGGCCAGAACGTACTACGGTCGAAACGTTGTAATAAATATAATAGTCTGAATAATGTCAATAGTTTCCCTCTCTCTGTTCTGCCATCCATTTATGCAAATTAGGTTACTTTTCTCTGTCTGCCCTGTCTTCGATTTGTCCTGTCAAATTTCCCAACGAACCAATTAACAGAAAGCACATAATTTGAGACTTTCAAAAGCAGCAATAAACTAAAATAGATATCACAAGAAAGAGAAAATAATGACATAATCACGATGTTGATGTTCCACACTACTTCAAACAGAAGGTTAGGAAGGAAACTCCTATCAGTACTGGAAAGAGCGATAACACTTAATGGATTTGAGAAACTGATTTTTACTGAAACATTGGTTTCATATAAAGATTTTATAAATTTGAATCTTTCTTTAGTATTACCATTATATTAGTCAATAACATCAAACATGTAGATACAGCCTTGTGCAAATTATCTGAAACGACCGCTTTAGTTTCCTTTCTTTCACCATACAGCCAGTTTTAGACCCACTGTAGTGACAGGGTGTAAACGATTTCTATTTTTTCCTCAGATTAGATCATTTGCAGTGGTGTGTAGTAATATGAATCTATTTTCGGGGTGTATGCTGAAATTTGTTCGGCCTTCAAAAATATTGCGTCATCTGTGATTGCATCAGATTTTCATCACATCCAGACACTATTATCTCGACTGTCGATTAGTTGTCCTGCGGCCATTGTCCGCGATGGACGTTACTACAAAGAAGCGTACGAAAATTATAACGTTACACGACCACACTGGCAAGCCTTAGCAGTGATCAAATCAAAGTACTATAGACTGACCCGGAAACTCTCTTGATTTAAATCCAATCGAGAATCTGTGGTCAATCTACAAGGAACGACTTCTTGGAATGGAAGTATTAACAAGTATACTGGGTCATGTTTCATTGGAAAATATGAAAAAAAAAGTAAATAATAACGGTATTATTCTTTTTGTTTCCGTTAATTTATACAAGGGTTTATTCTAGAAAAAACTGTCACTATTTTTAAAGAAGATTTTTATGCAGTGGCCCTTTCAGAAATTAAGTGATCATGGCACTCTACTGTCTCCTTTGCTTTATTATCTTTGAACAGCTATGCATTCTTCGGAAAGATAATGGAGTAGTTCCCGTGGCCTTCTCCTCAGTTAAGAATCCACTTTTTCTTCTTTCATACAAGTTGCTACCTAATCTAGAGATCCCAGTCTACCTTACTATTTAATCCTTAAAGACATAATTTATTTAATTTCTAGAGACGCTATTTATACGAAAGTGAACGCAACATATTAGATTGGGAATTCGAACTAGGGCCGCTGATTCCAATT